GCTAGCAATCTTGCAATCTTGGTCTCTAGAATCGTTGACCTTTTGCGACGGTCCAGAACCACAGGACTTAGAAACCCAAGGCTTGTTCCACAAAGATGGCAAAAACTGACAAATAAAGACAAATAGTGGCAATAAACGTCAAGACAAAGCCAAAAAAGACAACAAAAACAAATGAGGGACAGATAGAGACAAATCCAGACAAATAAAGACAAGTACATGCAAACACAGTGTGCCCTCCCCGAGCCTCCAGAGTGCCAGAATACCTTGAAACGTCCCGCTCATCCGAAGGCGTCCAAGTGAAGCCCACAACTGCCTCTCCGAGTGAAAGATCCTGGCAGAACTGCAGGAAGATTTTCTGATTCATCCGCCCGTCAGCAGGGTGGCTTTGGATGACGGGCATCAGCAGGCTGATAGACCGCTAAGTCCAGAACCGCACATTCCCAACTACACAACAACCCTCACCGGAAGCCCTGAAGTCATTGAAGTAGTTTAGCAGATGCTTCGACTTTGACCCCGCACTGCGCCGCCAGGGATCCGCGTGCACCTTGTCCGAGCTCCTTAGAACTTAGAATGCCACCATTGGGCACGCCGAAACAATGTGCATCACATGCAGAAACACTTCAAGCAAGGCCTAGCATACATAGCATACTCCAACAAATAGCCAGCAAGCACGCGGGTGGGATGACTGCTTGGTTTGATTTAACGACAGGAACCGACATGGCCGGCCCAACCTACAACTTGCAAAGTCAGAAGCAAAACCAACTAGGGGTGTCAGGCGTTTGGTTGATCTGCGCAAGCCCAGGCTCTTGATGGGAAACGAATCATCGCGACATTCGACAGTTTCCTGCGAGTCCAGCGGGAGAGTGCGCCACTGCACATGTCCCAGAAGTTCTGGAGGATAACGATCAGAGTGATCGTAGATCTCGATCGTCAGGTGCGTGCGGTTTTCGATGATCTGAAGAGCGAGCTCAACACTTCGCAGATCCTCCTCGCGGGATTGCGCCTCTAGCCGAAGCTCTTCCTTCCATTCGTGCCAAACTTCGCCGAAGGTCGTCGAGATTACACTGATAGGAAGTGCCAAGACGAAAATGCCAACCAGCATGCTGCTCGCCCCGATCAGCTTCCCCAAGAAGGTCTCTGGAATGACATCACCGTATCCTCAGCTCGACCCAGAAATCCTCCTACCGTTTCCAGTCGATCCCCCCAACACTGCGCCGGAGCCAAAACGCACAAAGTCCAGTCGCAGCAAAACAACTGAGCCTGCGGCCAACTGTGGTGAAAGTCACGAAGACCCACCAGAAGGAATGCGGAATGCTCAGGAAAGGAGTCTCAGACCTTTCACCATTATGCCCGGTTCGCATGTAGGTCTTCGTCTGCTCGTCCCATTCACCGCCCTCCACAAAGTAGATCGTCGCAGCAGAGAAGCAAAGTGCCAAAGAAAAGTTGACAGCAAAAACCCAAAACATGGCAATGGACTTGTGAAAGACTCTGCCGATGATCTGCAAGACTTCGAAGGACTTACCCAGTTTTACCAGTCGAAATAATCGCGTCAGCCGCAGAACACGCAATACCGTGAAGTTTGCAGTCGTGATCCTCAAGGACGACTCAACCACAAAGGGAACGATTACCTTGGCCAAAGCACATGCGAAACTGAGATGAGAAGGGGCGACTTTTATTTCAGGCTTCGGGAAGTACCCAGCCGAGTCTCGAAAAGGTCGATCAGGTTCATGGGCTGAATGACAAAGCCCATGAAACGAACGAAGCGGGAAGGGCTAAAGTTGGCCTGGACAGGCGACGGCTTTACGTCTTCACATCTGGCAGCAGCCTATTGCCAGTCCCACCAAGCATCACTAGCTTTCCCGCAATCTGATGACATCCCTCTACACACTCCCGTCAATGTCCGAACCTGGTTGTCTGTGACATGCTCCAAAAACTGCTCATAGTGCAAGAGTTCGGATCTCGTAAATGGCGCAGAGCACACCCTCACGATATACCTGAGATGGCATTGCTCGCTCAGGTGATTGCAGCTGTTTCTGTTGAGGTTGGGTCCAACTTGCTGCCACGAAGCTCCAGCGCGAAGATCCCAACACAAAATGATTCGAAGGCTTGGAACTCCCTCAGGGTTGAAAGCATCGAAGCACAAAGAGCACAACACGGTGCGACAGCCTCTACCATACTGCGCGTCCTTCATATCCGTTGCTTCGCCTTTGTGACTAGACTCGACCTTCAACATTGGGGCGAGAAGGCCTCCTCTGCTCCGGCTCACACCCATCGCACAGAGTCTCTTTCATCTCCGGCAGGGTTGCAATCATGAAGCAAACCTGCAAGGTATGGCCGGGCAGGGTGCAGCGGTACCTCTTCCTGCCTTTCCAAGGCGCAACCCATTCGCAACAGATCCACATCGCACTTGACCCGCAATTCATAGACAAAGAAAGCTAACCGAAATGGTGTGGTAGCGGTAAGAATACAAGGGAACTACATCAATAGAGCGAAGAATCTGAGTGTGTGACTGAGGGAGTTGCCCGGCGGGCGCATGGGGGTGCGAAACGAATCGGGCGATAAGCGCGAGCGGTCCGTGGCACATGCATCTGTATGCGCATGCGTGTGCGTAGCGCAATTGCACTAGGAACATTAATGCCTACTTGATTGCGCACCTGCCTGATGTTCCCTCGCAGCTTCCTCAATCCATGCATCGAACTGATCCCCTTCCCCGACCCACCCGAAAACTCCACGGGTCTCCGAATGTTCGTGACGGCACTGGTGCGGATGAGCTAATCTTCACTGCCACGCCACGCACGAGAGAAAAATCAAGACGTTCAGGAGGGCACCTGAGTTTGCAGGCCGAAAAACAAACCATGTTTAGCATAAACAAACTATCAAGCCCTTCCCTTCCGTTATGTAAAGCTCCAATTGGGTTGGGGCACTTGCCATGACACCGAGGAAAGACGATGTAGGCTCTTCCATTAACACAAAAATTCGCTCAGGAAGCGAGAGCTTGACGGAGACATCCTCAGGAAGCCACAGTGCACGTTGGGGTCATTGCAAAATGAATCACAACCAGCTTGTCCTTTGCAGCACACGGTAGGTGACGATACATAGCAGGCACAGGAGTCTATCGGAGATACTGTGGGCACTTCCGCATGCAGCGAATGTGCTCAAGACAAAACTATGATGCGAATCAGCTCGCTGCTGAAAGTAGACAGGTGCACATCCACGAAGGGGGTACGATACGGCCTGTTGAAGGATGCATTACAACAGCGACTGCACCCTGGCACAGCCTGGTCGTGATGTGAGACACCTTTGAAAATGCAAGCCGAAGGATCGGCTTTTCGCCAGACCGTCACAAATTCATACCACCCAACTGCGCCAGAACCGTCGACGTCGTACTCATCAGCCGAGAACTCATCAGCCTCCCACCGAGTCTCTGCTATGCGTTATGTAGAAGATCCGCTAAGAATGTCATGCTGTTGGCATGGGAAACGTGAACATAGTAGCGTGTTCAAACGTGCGTAAAGTGCCACGATCGCAGGCGGCACATGCATTGGCAGCCTGCCGATCCATCTGCATCAAGCGAAAGAGTCGAACAACGCTTCGTTGAAATACACTAACAGGAACTTCCCCGTGGCTATCGCCATGTTGACCTTGGCAACAGGTCCGACGCCGGTCCCGCATGTCCGTTCACAGGGATACAGCTCCGTAGGTGCAGCTTTGTGGCTGTACAGCCTCGGCAGCACTCAAACAGGACGCTTGACAACTGTCAGGCTATGGCTATGACCTACCGGTCAAGGTATGCACCTGCCTGGAGAAGATGCGCCGGAAAAAGAACAAGTCAATCGGCACAACAGACGGCGTGATCCAGGGTAGCTCTCGCCTCGGTAAGACCCCAGCCCTATTGCTCGGGATCACTCAGAAAGCTCTTGGCCTTCCGTTCTGAGACTCTGAGCTGCTACCCTTCTGCGGACGACCCTGCATACCAACTTCAATTCTTTCACGCTTACACCGACACTCGGACAAGTCCAGGCAAGGTCCGAAGCCGAAGCCAGGCAAACTCTGTAAAGGTCAGGAGTTCCATTCACTCCCAATCCCTTCGGTCAAGTAATGTGCAGCACACCGAAGAACCACAAGACGTTTAACAGACTCGTAATTCCTGGGTTTATTTTTTAATGGAAATAGTAAGGAATAAATATGAAACGGAAGATGTGGGAAAATATGCTTGACTTGTGCTTGGATTTGAGGATGACTCTCTTTTCCATATTTTCCATATTCTTTTCCATCATATGATGCCAGAAGGCCCCCCTCTCCGAAAGTCTCAGCCTTTCCGCTTCCCGCCCTGCCCTAACCAGTCTCCTGCCCAAGCCCAACCAGCCGGCCTTGAACTCCGATGCATGTGAAGGAGTGTCATGTACCACAACGATATATGTGTTTTTAACAGTGTACGACTGTGTAACTCTGTGCTTCCCGCCTGTGCGCGTATCATGCCTGGGCTACACGTTGTCCCTCTATGCCACCTGTTAATCAGACCGTCGATATGAACTCCTTTACACACAGTTGCAGATGCAAGTTGAAGAGTGCCAACGGTCATATACCTTAGCATATCCGTGTGATACACGCGTATTTTCTGATTCATATGCTTTCCATGTTTTTACCTTTTTATTAAATTATCTAGGTCAGACTAGCTCCTGGCCGATGTTGGCGTCATAACGACATCAACCGGTGTGCACCTAGCTCGTTGACAGCGGCTCAACCCAAAAAGACCCCAAACCCTACATCGTGAGTCCAACTTCAGTCAAGCTCACAAACGTTTCAAGCTCTCTTTCCATCTCAATATAACCGAGGTGTTCCTGGCAGGGAAACAGGCCCAGTGCCATGGTCTACATGCGATTGGGTGATAGCAACCTCCGGCATGTCAGGATAGCACAGGCCCACCTCGCATCGTTCTTTTCCTTCCGCCGCGATGCACTGGGTGTCCTGGGAAGGCAGAGGAAATCGAACGCCAAGGGCCAAGGAGCAAACTGCTGCATTGTAAAAGGGGAGTCCTGTTGACTGGCAGACCCTTCTTAACTGTAGACAGCATTCCCCATCTTTGATCCACAACAGCTGCGCGTGTGGACAGCTATGGGCAGCTGCAAAATAGGGCGAGTCACAAGCTGGAGACCCGCAATTGCCCTAAACCTCCCTATGCCCTCCACCATTCTAAAGCCATGTCCGGGCCAGACAACCACTTTGCATGGACTTTCGCAGGCTCTACACTTGAATTGGACGCAACATCTTTCGCTCAAATTTCTCCGGAACAAGCTGGGCAATCAATCCAGGTGTCCACGTGAGCCGCATCTTTCCGAGCGATAATGCTTTTGAGAAACTGACCAGAAGGTAGAATCAGTGATAACAACATGACATTGCAAGCCCATTCAGTCCATCGCAAGATCGTGATTCAGTGATGTGAGGTGCCCTCTATCAAGTCAGCAAAGGCTTGCCTTGCCGGTCTAGGAGCCTAGCCCTAGGACTTTTGAGGCCGCAAGGTCACAACACGAGCTGTGAGGGCATGCGAGGTTCTGCTGGAAGGCTCCAGAGTTGACAACCGTCCTTGCTATCCGCTGCGTTGCCGAATCGCCTCGATTCTCAAAGCGAGCCTTCTTCAACTGCCACATAAAACACGGGAGTCTCCAAGCCATCCAAAGCATGCACCGGCAGCTCTTGGCAGAAACGAGACATGGTAGACATGGTCGCGCCATGCCATGGAACATTAACTCGCGGATAAAGCACAGCAAACTCCCAGCATGTCTCGGTGCAGAAACCCAAGGTCTCAGCGCAGAGAAACGAACTTTCTCGACCTTTGCAATAGCAACGAGACATGAAGGATGCTGCTGGTTGGGCTGTAATGTCCAGCGTTGAGACATCAAGTCCCTCAGTAAAGCGAAATGGCTCGACATGCCGCATTCGCGGTGAGCCATGCGCATTCAGGTCCTGTCCTTCAGAACCATATCATTCCGCCAAGGGCTTCACGTACCGATTCCCTCTCACGCCGAGTAAACACAGCTTCGTCACTTTGGGTGAACGAAACTGCGCAAGTACAGTCGAGCATGTTTGGGGAAGCCTGATTAGCCTTAGAAGCCTTAGAACAATCAAATCAAAATAATACCTTCGGGGCGGGGACCACAAACGGCCTCCCTGCCAGCATCAGGCTCGGCTTTCGTCGTTGCTCTCCACATGCGAGGATAGATTCGCGACATATGAAGTGTGATTGGCCGGTGAGAGTCCAGATCCTTGGGCAAATCACATTCACGCTCCTGCCGGCATGCACAATTTGTCCGGCAAAGCTGCTTCGGCGAGATCGTCGCCTCCGGTCGCAGCGAAAGGATGCAGAACTTGCAGCAGCAGTCTAGCGGCGCTATCAGCCACCTCTGCAACTCGCGCTCGTGGAGTTCATGGATTCGGCCCCCCATCCTGGCACCGTGTAGCCACGGCTTGACATGCAAGCAGCAAGGACAGAGAAGGACTACAGGCTAGACAGGGACGGTGCGTGGTGCGTGGCAACAGCGAGCCTGTCTGCCACTCGCCAGGCAAGGAAGGCAAAGCGGGTCATCACCTGCAGTGTCAGCTGCATACTCCTCGTGAAAGGGAGACTGAGGGAGAAGGATGTCAGCAGTGCCGCAAGTGGTGCGTGATTGTCATCCACGACCACGAGATTTTTCATGTCCTGGTGAGGTCAGGGGAACCAGTACAGGGCAGCTGTCGTGCAAGGACAACACAGTCCATGCTCTTGAAGAGCTGGTAGGCGCTTTGAAGAGGGAAGCTCTCCCGAACAGTGACCTCACATGACTATCGTTTGCAAGGTCTCAGAGAGGTCGGTGCTTGGAAAGGGCTGTGTGCCAACCTCCCAGGCTGATGAGATCCCGGCTGGATACAAGCTGGAGCAGCGCTTCAGACTCAGCATCGCAAGAGGCACAGGTTTCGTCAGCTGGTGTCGAACCGAATTCCCATGTCGCCGTTCGATTTCTACGGCCTGACAAGATGAATCGCCTCGCTGAGGCCCACGCTCCTCAGCCGTGATTTCATCATCTTGTTCCAGGAGCTCCTAAGAGGCGGTCACTGCGGTCTCTCAGCGCCTAGTTGCGGATACGGAATCCAGCACGTCGCAACAAGCGCTTTCCTCTAGATCTTTCCGGTCCACCATTCCCACAACCTGAACAAAAGTTGCGCTCGGAGGGCGGCTATGATTCGATAGCTGCAGACCACCAGCAGTCGCAGGAAACTAGAGTGGTGATGGGTGCTCGACGACTCGCTTGGCATCGACCACTGGGAAGCCAGAGAAATTGTTGCCTGCCACGTCGGTTGTCAGTTGACGAAACAGAGATCCGCGGCAGAGTCAAAGTAACGCGAAATTTGCTAGATGAGCCTTTGAGGGCATCTTTGATGCCCTCCCGTCCACCAGCCAGCTTGATTTCAATCGGCTTGTTCTTCGGCATCATGTCACGAACCTCTCCGCATCGCCCGAAGGACTTCTGCCCCCGGACCGTTCCGGAATGACCCAAGTCTTGATATCTGCCCACCAAAAGGTATGACACCCCGAGTAGACACATGCGACTATTTCTCGGATGGCGACCATACTTCAAGGTATGTGTCCTGATTTCGCTGTTCCGCTTAAGATGTCATGCTCTTCAGACCATGGCTAAAATAATCCCAAATCCTGACAAAACAAGCTGACAAGCACATCCAGCCAAGCTCCCGGCAACAATCCCGGGTGGGAGCTGGTCCGCTTGCCATGTGTCCGGGAGATATGGGGTGGACTGGACCTCGGAAGCTACCAGTAGAGGGTGCTCACAGACAGGCCCCTTCTGGTACAATGCTCCATGAGTCATGAGTAAGGCCATGTTTCGCTCGAAAAATGCACCATGAAGCAGTGCGGGGACACTGCACACCAGGGGAGAAAAAGCTTGCAGGAGCTCTCTGTGACCGAAGCCCATCGAAATCGAGCTTCAACCCCTTCCAATCTGCTTGAGCGCTGGCTTAGCGCGTGACGGACAGCAACCACTTGGCTTCCAGCGTCAATCAATGAGTGGTACAGGCCGTGGTTGATCAGATTTCCCACCAGCACGGCAAAGACTGTGGAGAAACCCACGGGAAAAATCATGACCTGAGGGTCGTTTAGCAGCAACCAGCAAGATGTTGCACGAGCAAACTGCTTGCAACCTGATGCGGGAAGGTTGCTGGATCGCCGGTAATCTCGACCATCATGACGGTGGTGAAGAGAGTGACCTGATGCCAGCAACCCATCCAAGCCAGCCAGCCAGAAGACCAAGGCACCCGCTCGCCCACTCCCTCCGAGGAAGGCTGCAGCCCCCATCAATGCGGCGATCCTGCTCAAGCTTGTACATTGCACATGACGGCCAACCCACGATCTCTGAGGCATGGGCCCTGGGTCCAGGAAACCGTTCGGCTCCAGAGTCACCGGTGAGCCATCTGGGAACACACCTCAGCTCTTCGACTCATCGCAGCCTTCGGCCTTCTCCTAACTCTTTCAGCCAGCCTCCAGCTCCGAAGAGCACTTGGTACCTGGAGAGCAGCGCATGCAGTCCTTGTTTTGCTTTCCCAGCTCCTTGCAGCAACTGAGCCGCCGGCGGCTGTGCCCAAGACTTTCCTGCAAATAACAGTACACTTTACGCCTCACCGCACCAAGCCCCCGCTCGGGGCTCGAGTCTGCACCCATGTCCAGTCTGTCTGTGAACAAGCATTGCAAAATGTTGATCAGTCCTGTCCCAGGCATGGTTGCTGATTGGATATTCATCAGGACGACCGCCTTACTACTGTCGTTGCCCGAAGGCATCCCAGAAACTGCCAACTGCTCCACGCTGGACTCCACACATAAACACAGACAAGCACACCCCCTCTCGCTCTCACGCTCTTGCTTCCTGCAGGCTCGGGGTGAAGAACCCCCTGGCAAGCGCGTGCCCCCCACGTTCTTATCAAGGAGGGAATTGCTTCGAGTGTCATCTTGACAAGGAACTGGGAGTCTAAGCCACCCCAAAAAAAAACAAAACAACACTAGACAAAGCTCACTCCCCGCGAAAAACCCTTCAGGCCACTTGACGGGAACAGCAGCGGACACAAGACTCAAGCACCGCTGGGGAAAACACTCGGGTTCCCTGAGGTGCACAACTGCAACTTAACCCCGTGTCTCCCCCCGGCTGCAAGGGGGCGGGCCCTCAAGGCAGCAAAGGTGCAGCACTTGCGCCAAAATGGCCTAAGCCAAAGTGGCTACTCTCGCACTCTCTTTCTTTCACCAGGCTTGAGGGCGAACCCCCGCAAGGGACGCCTGCCGGTACTTCTTCCACAGGTCTTGGTGGCCAGTTCTGGCCCCCCGGCCGCATGGGCCTTGTGTGGGCTGCTGCGGGGTTGGACACCTGCACCCGCGCTCGCAAGTGCACTGGTACGTTCGAGTCGGTTCTCTCTCTTCTTCCACACGGTCAAAAGGAGAGCCGACATCCGACAACTCCCCCTCGCGCGCGGGCTCGCCCTGCTTGTCTCAGCTCTGTGTGAAAGCTGTGGACGACGATGGCAGCTGTATCGCAACCATTGAACCACCCCCTAGAAGTAGTGTAATCCCCCGCTGGCCTCATCATTCTAAGGCGGATGCTGGCACTGTTCTACAAGCACTCGACGTGTGGTAAGTTCGCAACTCGTACAGGGGCTGGCAGTTCGCGGAACCAAGAAGCATGTACTAGCTTACGGCTGTAAAATTGCAAGCATCAACACAAACTCTGTGCTCTGCTGTGCCCCGTGTTGCGCTGTGTACAAGTGTGCAAGAAAGTGATGGGCATATGAACTGCAACAAGCATGATACATGTACTGCGCACAGACTGACATGATTCCCTATGCCGAGCTCTCCGCCGCCTACTACCGCATCCCCTCCGTCAAAGTGAACCAGCGAGTAATCAGACAAGCAAACAACACACTATCGACTTGCAACACTCTGCACACAGGCCTCGTACGGAGAGTGCAGTATGTCAACTGATCAGCTCAGAATACTCTATACATTGGGGTTATCCCCCTCATCGGAATGTGCTGCGTTCATGCGACGTCGCCTATGGTTCGGCAGCTTCTTGCTAGTCTCTATCCAAACCCCCCTCTGTGGTCGACGTTGGTTCGGCTTCAGCTGCTTGCAGTGCAGCAAGCTGTTCTTGTCGTTCAAACTCTTCATGGGGTTGCAGGCGCTCTTCATCTGTAGGGAATAGTGGTTCCTCTGGTTAACTGTCGCTAGCCTCCCTGGAGGTGGGGATACTCCCTGACCGCTGTTCCATGTGTAGAGGAGGCGCCTACTCTTCTGTCCCCAGTTCTGGCTGTACTGGTTGTGTCGCCTCGCCCCCATCTGTCGTCGTCTGGGTGTCCACGTCAATGCTCGCCTTTCCCGTCTGTTGTTGTCTCTAGACCAGTATGGCAGCAAGTAGTTGCCTGACCTGGTCTCTCCCTGCAGTCGCAAAACTCATGACTCTTTCTTTCCGCAGGGTTCTGGCTCTCTCTCTCTCTCTCTTGCTTGCTTGCTTGTTGGGGGTTTAGGTTCCTCTCTCTCTCTTTCCCCAGGGCTAGGGACATAGGGAAGAACCCCTCTCCCTCTCTTTCTCTTGCTTGCTTGCTCGGGGTATGGGGGCCTAAACCCCCTGGCCCGTAGGCCTACCCCACGAAGGCGCGCTCCGGTGTGTCTGACAGGCTTTCTTTCTTTCGGCAGGGCTATGGGCAAGAGGGCAGTCCCCCTGATAGGCTCTCTCTCTCTCTCTCTCTCTCTGTCTCTCTCTTCTTCAGCACAGCTCTCCCTCGCTCTCTACATCTGGGCCGTGTCACCAAGATCCGCCCAATCAGACCTCCAATCACCTTGCAAGGCAAACTTCTGCCGGGGAAGTGAGCAGCACCATTTTTTTGCACAGTGAGCAACGGGCCATCTGGGGCATGAGTGTCCCGGATGGAATGGCGGACCTCGGGCTCATGATTCAATGATGGTTCATGGTACTTCGTACATCCGACGGCACTAACACGCCCTGACACGATTCCACCTGTACCAAACTTGTTTTTGTGAAGTGCCAGGCACTCTTAAGCTCACGGTGTCTTGGTGGAGCTGAGACCAACTCCCTGCAGTTATCGCGGCCAAAATGAAGAACAGCACCTTCGTGCTCTGCACCCACACGACAACCCACGAGGACGCAAAGTGCCCGGCGAGAAAGGCTGCCATGGCTTCGATGGTGACCTTGGAATGCAGGGTAATGCAGAGCCCCAGAAGATATTTTAAAGCTGCCGATGATCAAAAAGGCAGCCTGCATGTGTCTCCGTCCAATCTCGTCGTAGCAAATCTAAGCAACCACCCAAATAAGGCTTCCGAGCCCCGCAATTAGTACATGTAGCCAATGTAGCCTGCTCCGGCCATCGCTGAAATTCGTGGCACGGAACTGCTATGTGTGGAGTTGGTCGCTGAATAGATGCCCGAAAGTTGCTTTCGGGTTGCCTTCGGAAGGGCTTGGTTGGCACAGGCGAAAATATGGGGTTCGGATTCATTGGACGGTCCTGAGCCTTTACGTGCCTTGACGAGGGCGCAGGGGCCAAAAAAAATCAGGGGTCAACCGTACTCTCCATGCCACTCTCTGCCTTTGCTGCACGCAGGCTCATCACAAGCAAAGGCCTGCCCCAAGCGACATGCCCGCACGGCAAATCAGGCTCTGACCAGGTTCGGCATCCCGCGGGCAAAAAGATTTTGACCTTTGCAAGCACTCTGCAATCCACAGCGGGTGCCAGCTCTGCCTAACCTTTTCGAAAGCACTGGGTCCAGGAAGTCTCAACACTAAACTCAGGTCCTGGCAAGCCGTCTTGAAAGGAACCAAGCTAAGCAAGCCCACCGAGTTGAAACCTCAGAGCATGTAGAGCCCCACATGAGACATGCACAGCAAAGGGGCCGTGGTCTCCTTTCGCAACTTCAAGCGGTAGAACACCCGGCTCTACATTTCCAGGGGGCCTGGCTCGAATGTTCGTCGGCAGACTCTGTAAGGCCGAACGTCTCCTTCTTCTTCAGGCTCGGAGCAAACTCTCCGAGGTCAATCGGACAGGAGGCATTGCCAGGCACCTGTGACTCCGCAACCCGAGAATCGCTTCAGAATGTAACTGAACATTGTCAACGCAATTTCCCTGAGGTATGGACGGAAAAGCTCCCTGCTTTCAACTCGTCCATGCTGCTAAAGCTGCAGCAGTAGTCCTGAGGAGAGGCGCAAAGACTGGGCAGATTATTGCTTAGGTCAAGATGGAGACGCCTGCCTGGAAATCTGTGAGCTTCTGCATGTCCGGGGTAGTCACCTCATTATCGAAGGGCATCTGGCCGACCGGCCGGCAAACAACAGGATAAACAGCAGCAAAGACATGCGGCTTACTAGCAGTTACTAGCATGATTGGTTTTCCTCTCCATGTTCTAAACCACCACCTCTTCCTCTTCCTCCTCCTCCTCATCCTCCTCCTGCTGCTCCTGCTCCGTTGCGCCTGCTGCTCCTGCTCCTGGAAGCCGGGCCAATCAACATTGCAATCTCGGCGCAAGACATCTTATGCACAGTTAACTTTGATCATGCTCACGCAGGTGTGCTACGCAACACATCCATGGAACGCAAGGCCACATGACAGGAGCAAAGAGCGAGGACTTCGACAGACGTTCATGAAACAACGAAGGGCTATCACAGTATCCTGCAGTATCTTGAACCTAGTTACTCCCCGTCCTGTCTTTCACTCTCACACGCAGACTCTGGTTAGTCAGCTGCAGTCCATGGCTCAGACAGGCCACCATTATTGAGAGCCTGCAACACGAATACGAAGTCTACTAATCCAACTTCCATTAGCTTCCTGGAGGAGAAAAATGGGCCCTAGATGCCGACTAACCGAACCCAAATTCTAGGCCCCGTCTGCAAGAACACCACGAAAACACGCACACACACACACACAGAGACACAGACACAGACAAACACACGCACGCACGCGCGCGCACACACACGAGGAAGGAACCTTCGTCGAGGTACTGGTGTCTGTGCACGCTTGTGCCGAGGCTGCAGCTGCTTGGACACAAGTCTTGGCGAAAGGATTGCTTGAAGCCAAAGCATGCACCTTCAAGGTCAGGGGCTCTCAGTTCATGACATGAGTGCACACTTGTACTAAAAATCCCATTAGTGTTGTCAAAGGCGCTTCGTTGCACATCTTCGAGTACTGCACGCCTCAGCTGCATGCTAGACTAACTAGATGGATTCTCTCAGCACAGCTGCAGGTGTTCCTGAAAAAGCAGTCCCACGTCTCTGCACCTGCCGTTTCCAAAGGCCAACCGTGGGACCCCCGCCATACAAGCACGGAGCTGGGAAATAACCCTGAACCTCAGAGCATGAGAGTGGATCCGTAACACCAGTCGTTTCGGCAACTGTCAAAGCCGAGACCGCAACGTGCTTACCTCCACGACGCTCAATCACGGAGCCGTTGATGATCTGAGGGCGCATGGACATCCGGGTTCCGGCTTTGAGAACGGCTTGGGCGAGTTTTTGCCCCTACAAGGAGAGCTGTTTGCACGGCTTGCTGCACGACAGCGCATGCCCGGCCTGGTTTCTGTAATCATCTTTAATGCAACCATTGCTCTGGGCGAAGAGCGTGGACGAGGAGGCCTCAAGATTGAATTGATGAAGGAGCCCTGGAGGTTCTGCTCTTCCAAGCCAGGCAGCTTCCCGCTCGCCGAACAAGCTGGCAACACCCAGCCACCTCAGTGCTAAACCTAAACTTTCTAATTATCCCAAACCTAAACCTCAAAAGGTGGCTCCCACGTCTACCTTTTTTGCATCCAGGCTCCCACGTCTACCTAAAGCCCTAAACCCCCAAGCCCCAAGCCCCAAAACCCTACAAGCCCTAAGCCCGTTTTGGGGTCCACACGCCGTGGAACTCAGAAGGCAGAGGATCAAAATCTCCGTGGCCCGCCGGGCAGGCCTGTTGGATCGCTAAAAAAATCCCCCGGCCCGGCCCGGGCCGTTTCCCTCGAACTAACAAAAAAGATTAGACTCATATGTTTTGCCTATTAGTTATATGATTGATACTATTAATATTATTAATAAAAATACTAATAGTATCAATCATATAGTTGATACTAATACATTAATATTGATGATACTACTATGTGGCCTTGCAGCACTGCAGAATCGCGAGCGCCACTCCATGACCTCGCATCTTAACGGCTCTGTGAAGCTGGGACGGGCCATGATTGAGGCAGAAGAAAAGCCAATGTCACCTTTTCAGAGCTGCCTGAATGTTCAATGCATTGAACGCCGCGCCGACGACACCGCACAGGAGGCCGATGACCACGCAAAAGAGAATCGTCCTTTGAATCTGCCCAGAAAGAAGGAGCCCAGCACAGCAACTGAGGGCACTGAGGGCACTGCCAGTAGGGTGTGTCACTGCAGCCGGTGCCGACTTGGACCTTCCAGGATGCGAGATGATGCGACCCGCAGGAAACGATACCGATAAAAAACCCCAGGCCTTGTATTCCAAAACTGCTCCTGCACCCCCTGTTAGGAGAATGACCTGACAAAAGAGTCGTTGTAGATGGGCAGAACCAGCGCAGTGGCAAAAGAGATTGAAACGTGAGAGCCTCCAGAGCAGCCAGGCCTGGCAAATTCCAACCTACATCGAAAACACCACTTCGGAGAACTGAGCCTCCGAAAAAGATGTTGGCCATCTGCTCTTTCTTAAAATGGGAAGCCGCTTCTTCAACGATGAAAAGGGTGCCAGCCTTGAAGCAGCGAACCGGGGCTCTCAAGATAGAAAGGAAAGGCGTTCGAGGAGCAGGTCACTGAAAACATGACATGTCAACAGACATCTGCCCACAGAGTTTGTCCGTGCACCCGGCTATTGGTGCTCGAAAAGCCGCAGCAATTCCACAAGCAGCACCAATCGATGTGTAGTCGCGCGTAAACACATCGTCACCTGCCAAACGAAGCTGTGGTGAGCGGCTGGTCCATGAAGAACAGTTCGGGGCCAGGACCCACTGTTGCCGGCGGAGTGCCCAGCCATCGCCAAACAGTGGGATGCTGTGGCAACCTTGCACAGGGCAAAGCTGAAGCATTGCCAACAAGGAAGAATTCGAATCCACTCGATTTGGTGTAGTCTGTCAACACCGAATGTTTGGATAACCCGGAGCCTGGAAAAAAAGTATCCAATGCTCGCACCTCGGCAGACACGGATGAGCCCTCTGCCGTGCAAGGCGGCAGCGAGTGCCGAGTGACTGAGATCCGTGCCGATGAAAATCATGGGGCCCTCTGGACCCACCGCCAAGCCGGAAGCCACTGCCAAACACACGCCGAACCACTTTACCAGCAAATGCCTGCAAGAAGGCAAATAATGGCAAGCTGACATACGCGCCAGAAGATGGAGTATGCGGCAATTGAATTGCTAAGTGGCGCGAGAAGGTAGCTGCAGAGAGCTTCATTTCACCAAAGTGGACTTAATGTTCCAAAGAGCACTCGAAGGGGTCCTGAAAGTGAACTCGCCCTTCAAATCGCAGCCGTTGAGCAAGCCAATGAGTTGCGGAATGCCAGAGGACCTGCACGGGCAGGTAGGCAAAAAGCTGGCTTCACAAGCTGCAGCCGGATGCAGGCGGACTGCGGTTCAGGCTTTTCCGGACACTCCTACATGTCTTCGCACCGTGAGTAGGCCAGTCAGGCCATGACCTCAAGCCATCCGTGACTGTTGCACGCTCTACGGCCAGGAAGCCTGCTCGAATTAGATGCCCCTTGAGGTAATATCTTTTAGAAGGGGCCGAAAGAAAGCATGCACTGCAAACACCGAGCCGGGATCTGTGCATCCGGCTCACTTACGAGCAACTACCAGCAAGTGACCCTCTTGTTGGCCAAGTTAGACTAAGTTTGTGAATCTGCTGGCTCGTCGCCCTTGTCGTGCCAGGAAAGCTTCGCGAGCTGCACGAGCACAAGCTTCTGCTTCACCATCTTGACGCTGTGGAGTCTGAGTCACGTGGGATCGTCCCAAGAGCACGGGCAGAGACGTGGTCACGGCAACTCGGGGAGTCGGAACACAGCACTCCGATGAAGCGGCTTTTTGCTCCTGTCCTGTGCTGCTCATGCCCAGCATGACAGGGTTCGGAGCATTGCTGGTGGTAGCCTGACTACCTGCGCTGCACTCCAGCATACTGCGTGTGGAAGTAGGCGTTTGTGTTCGGGGGCTCTCGTCCTGGGGCTTACCGAGAACACATTCGGCGACGCAAATCGATGAGGGCGCCATGCTACAGTTCGCGTCCACTCCTGCAACCCAGTAGGCTTTGCTAATTGGAACCTGAGCAAGACATGGCAGAAAGCGTCCTGGCATCAAGCCGCAGCCCGCGGCCCCAAGCTTCAAAACTATGTGCCAAATCCGATCTGTGCGCAGAAACCACGAAAACCATCACAGTACGCTGCAAGTGCTGCGTCTCAGGCCCGGCGGTCTTTGTTCCGGAGATGTCACCGCAGTACCTGCATTTGCAGCTTCTTCTAAAGTCATGCCTGTAGACAAGATCTGAAGCCGGGCGCACACGAAGAAACCACCGGCCAAGGCAAGGATTGTCATCAAGGAGAATTCTGCACAAAGATGCAACTGGTGGTTTTAATGCAGGTCCAGCGATAAGTTGCGATTGGCCAAACGCTGGCCTATTGGCTCCCCCTAAATGCGACTGCTCACTTTCGTGATATGCTTGGCAAAGCCTTAGGAAGGCTTCAAAGCCTTCATTGATGGGCCTGACCGGAACCCGTAAGAACCTGGTTTGCCAATGCCTATGCGATGGGCTGCGAGACGTGTCACGCACACCGGCCTGCACACCAAGCCCAGAACCATCCCCGCTCAACCTCAAGTTCTGCTGAGAGCACCCATGCCCTGCTGCTTGGCTCTCTTCGAAACCCACAGGTAAGATCCGGACGATGGTCTGGTTCACTATCTCTGCGCGTTTCGATCCCAGAAGCTCGCTGGCTTGGCCCACCTGTTGCTTCACAGGTACATTTTAAATGAGTGGGTGAAGGATGGCTGCAGATACGGCACCACCCATGCAGTCCCTGCCGTCAGCAATCCGATCCTCGTCCCAGGAATTCTTCCAGATGCTGCTGTGCCATGCCAAGCCATGCCAAACAAAGTAGCATGACTGAGCTGCAACGTCCATTCCGACTGGCATGCACCCATTCTCATCACCAAGCAGCATGATGGGCAGTGTTCGCTGCAAGAAGAGGAATCCCTTCGTCTCTTGGGCCACCTGGCTTCAAATCATCACAGGCTGTCGCTTACCAGACATCCGAGCCCGGACCCGATCTTTGTTGTAGCGCTCATTGAAGATGGGCCTGCAGATGCAAAGGCCGCGGGCTTGAAAATTGTGTTTTGCCGTGCCCCAGGTCGCCGGCTCAAAGCTGAGGCTTCCGATTCCCAGGGCCTTGCTGGGGTCATCGGACCAGAAGACATGCCTGCATCCGATCACATGCCTTGTCGCGATCAAGTGGGCCGTGGATGTGAACGTGCGAGTGGCCACCTCAAGCGAAAGGTGCATCATCCTCTTCCGTCCATTCTGCGTGTCTGTGTACGGATGATGCGCAAATCCGAGCTGAGCCAGAGCACCGTGGCCTTCACCATGGTGACTTGACGGAGCAACCTGATCTTCTCGGATCACGCATACGAGCCGACATGAACGACTCGGGGGTATCAGGCACCTGGTACGTGAAGATCTGCTTCCATCAAACATCCTTGAACGAAAATGAAGCCTTGAACCATGACAAAGACTCAGAATTTGGCACGGTGTCGAACCGATGAGTTGCACAAATCAACTGCACCGATTCTTCAAACCTGGAGCCGCAACCTTCAGCCGCAGCCCATGGCCAAGGAGTCCCCAGTGCTCATTCTCTTAAAAATTCAAAATCGTCCTTTTCTGTAGACAGCGATCCCTGGCAAGTACGATGTCACGAAGATGAAACTCGCCGCGCTGCCTGGCAAACCGATACCTCTTCAACAGCTGAGCTCGGCACGGTGGTGAAGGGGACATTAGCCTTGGATGGCTGAGCGTGAATTGGGCAGGCTAAAGCAAATCGTCATTGCTCAGCTGGATGCAGAATCCGAAGAAGCCGAGGACATTGGCAAGGCCCTGCCCTCCACCTGACTCGTTACATCCTCCAAATTAGAGTCCGCAAGCTCAAGCTGAAGTAAGTCCCTGGCTTTGGGGCTCTTCGGGCAATTGTTGTGAGGCTACTAATTCGAGCCACAAGAATGACGAGGCCGGGTGTACATGTGGTGCTTCCTGATGCACAAATCGCCCTCCCGCACCGCTTGAACCGCTTTGGGTATCTCCCAGGCCCCTGAAGTATTTCTTCTTCTGCTTCTCCTTCTGATCGTGCTTCTTCTGGGTTCCTTCCTGAGTTGTGCAGTCCTGCAACCCCTGGTTTTTCAACTGCCAGATCGACAGCAGGATCTGCAGAAACCATCAGTGCACAGGACACGTCTGCAGACCAAACGGCACCCGACAGGCAGTGACAAATCTGTCAGTCGGGAAGGCAACTTGTTAATGGTACGAGCTCCTTTTCCGTGAAGATTTTTGTTCCCTGCCTTTTGCCTGCTGCGTTTCTCGACAATGCCTGCTAGGATTTTGCTATAGCAGTGGAAGGCGGGCTGCAGGACTCCAAGGAAGAAGTAGAAGCGCACAAGCCACTTCCTGCTCTGGCAACTGCCGTGCAGTGCATGTCAAAGCGAGGCCAAGGGTTTGATCCTTTGCTCGAGTTCTGTGGCGATGCTCGAGTAGATCGGATCGACAAGCCTCCCCCGACATGGGCGGGTAATTTGGGCAGCCCCACGTGACTCTTCCAGGATCAGATCGTGGTCTCTCCCTTTCTTTCTTGCTCTTTCTCGTGTCATTTCAGGCCCAGATACGGCAGCGACACACCCTGAGATTCCGCAGCGAACTGTTGAACCCTGAGTGGGTTCCAAACCTTCACTAAGTCACCAAGTCTCCCCATTCCCTGATACAGCAAAAACTAAGCCGAACCTCTTCCGTCAAGCGCCTGTCAAACTCCTGCACGACGACGGGCAACTCAAATCAAAGTCAAAACGGCACCGGCCACGATCAAAAGCAATGGCAACAGCAGCAGCAGCAGCAGCAGCAGCAGAAACGGTACAGCCCATAGGGCCGAGACTGGTGCAATGAAGATTTCACGATGTCTACCGCACATAAGTGTCAGAGGCGACTTCGTAAAGGAAGGAACTTGCCGGTGTCTCAGTTTCTGCGCTGACTGTCCTGCGTGGCTTGCCAGAGTCTCCTGAAGAGGCTCCAATGCGTTGTGGAGGCTGGAAGGCTCGCCTCGTCCTTTCAGCATGGCTGTCCTCTCCAGCTCCTCAAGCTTGTCCTCGATCTTGACGTCTGCTCCTCGACTGACTTGCTATGGAGGCTCTGCTAGATGCTCATTGTGAAGCCGGGCCCCGGTCTGGAGTTTGAAACACGCGTTGAATTGGGCGAGCCATGAGAAAGGGCCGAGGCTGCACCACCTGATGCACATAATGCAAGAAGTGAGAACAACTGTTGAAGTCTTTGCCCGTTGCCGTCTGGGCCGAGGTGAAGACGCTTGAGTGAAGAAGAATTTGCCTCACGAAACAATGCCATCCATGCAAGTGTTTCAAACTTAGCTTCCAAGTTTGGAAAACCGCAGCTGCGGATGAGATGTTGATCTCAGGTTGGTGCCAGCTGGTCAAGCTGCTGTCCCCGTTTCTCCTCAACATGAGGAATGAGAACTCAACAGCTGTCAGTAGATGGCATAAGCAAGTCCTGTACCCCCACCGCCTCTGCAGAACCTGCCAACCAACACATGGTGGAAAAGCAGCAGCTTTCGACTCCCGTCTCGACTAGGCACGGCTGATGCTTCTGCTCACGTTTTCCACTCGCTTCTGCACCTCAGAAGGTGCCAAACATCGCCCGGTCGCCCGGCTGTTCTGAGCACCTCCGCAACTCCTGAGCCTGTTGCGCCATCCACGCGCTGTTCCAACTCCTCCCCAATGAGCCAGCTCAACCCACCGAACAAGTCATGCTGCGCTCCTCAAGCTGGTGCGATAAATCTCGCACTGATGTTCGATGCCTTGCGAACATGCAGATGCCTCTGGCGCCGATACATGTGCTCTCCCTGCAGTTGAGTTCTGCACTGTCGAAGGCGCTGCTCCTGGCGCTGCCCCAGCCTTTGTAGCTAAGGCCTTTAAGGCCTGCACACGCATGATTCTCAGGAATTGGGGGACGTGTTGTTACGTCAGCTGCTTTTTCAATTACTTAAGCCGAGATTCTCTTGCTGACACCGTTTGGAAGAGATGCTGGAAAACGGCCATCATCAGGACTTTGTGCAATCGCTTAAGGGTTTGAGCAGACGGAGGTTCAGCTCTCACGACTGCACTTGCAAATCTGCTCTGCCTCCGCATTTTAACCCTAAACCCTAAACCTTTCGGTTGAGCAGAGACTGCCATGCACTAAAGCACACCAAAACTCTAAACCCGGTTTGCTGCCAGGCGGATTGGGGAGCTGCACCCTTGAGGTGTTGCACCCTTAACCCCAAAGCCTTTGACCCCTAAACTGTAAACCCTCCCACCCCTCTGAGGGTTCCCGGCGTGGTGGCGGCATCCAGCTGCCTCTTCAGATCTGCCAGCTCCGCCTGTTGCTCCAAGGCATTCACCTCGTGCGGAATCGAACAAATTCTTGTTGTCCTCCTTTCGCATGTATACATATACATGTATTATGTAACATATGTGTATGTGTATATATATATATGCTACCCCCCCCCCGACGTACCTACACTTT